TGTTCAAATACTAAACGTGGGTTCATAAATTTAATCACAGCAAATAATAGAGCATACTCTGAATAAAAGGTAATAAAAAGGTAATTGTTAACATACACATTTTTTATTTTTTATGTTTTGTGTTTTAAAAATATTTATTTATTTGACACAGGGGATGGGGGTAAAGAGAGCAAGCACAAGCAGGGGGAGCATCAGGCAGAGGGAGAAGCAGGCTCCCTGCTGAGCAAGGAGCCAGATGTGGGGCTCGATCCCAGGACCTTGGGATCATGACCTGAGCTGAAGGCAGCCACTAACCGATTAAGCCTCCCAGAGCCCAACATACAATACAGAGAATAGAACTGTGTCTTGAGAATAGAACAAAAATATTATATACTTACTGACTTGAGTATATAATTTTGCAGATCTTATGTAAATTTTTAACTAAGCAATATCTTCTATTTCAGATATTTGATGGAACTGCCATTTTACACTAGCTTCCTTTTTAGATTTGCTCATGTTCATCCACTCTCAACAGCTCATACCGTTGTGCTGCCAGGCATCACTCGGCCACTGTGACCATTAGGTAAAAGTCACACTTGATGCACATGGCTGCTCAGAGGTCCTGGGAATGGTGCTGCATGAAGAACTCTCATTGAAGGGGCACCTGGGTGGCTCAGTGGGTTAAAGCCTCTGCCTTCGGCTCAGGTCATAATCCCAGGGTCCTGGGATCGGGCCCCGCATAGGACTTTGCTCAGCAGGGAGCCTGCTTCTCTCCTCTCTCTCTGCCTACTTGGAATCTCTGTCTGTCAAATAAATAAAATCTTAAAAAAAAAAAAAAACTCTCACTGAAGTGAGAAACTTCTCTAATGCTGTACATAGTTACTTCATATGGATCCTGAAAAAAATAAAATAACATGTGGTGAATGCAGGTCAAAAGACATCCCTGCTGTTTGGGAAGGAAGGAGCCACTGAGCAGCCAAGTTTCCTCTGCCACTCAGAGCATCCCAGCCTCTTGTGGGCTTTGTGGTTCATGACAGAGGCCACAGATAACCCTTGTTATCCAGGGATGTTCTCCTGTAGAAAGCTGGATGGAAACCTCTCCCAAGGGTCTATTAATGTGACTAAAACTGGCTGACAGCCTAGACTTTGAAAAGACTTTTCCAAACACTGAGGGGAGTGAACATAGGGCCAGGCATCTTGCTTATCCAGGAAGGCCGTCTGCTCACTCCCCTGGGCCAGGGCCCCTCTTCTGAGCAGCACCCTCCACTTTCCAGTCCACAGAGTGGAGAAACAGGTGTACAGCCAGCTCCGGGATCAGACCTCCTGGGTGCAGATCATAGCTGTGAGTCCTTGGTCCCTCTTTGACCTCAGATGCCTTGTCTATAAAATAAGAATAATTAAGGTACCTGTTTTGCAGAATTAAAATACAAGTAAAATGCTTTAGCATGGTTTCAGGTAAGTGATTAATAAATGACAGCTACCAGGCCTCACCCTCTCTCGCTCCTCTCCCCCGGCTCACCAGTCGGCCATACTGCCCCGCACACAGGCCACCACTGTGCAGCCTTCTGCTGTCACTCCCATCATAGCTGTCCGTCTGAAGACCTTTCTTCAATAATGGCTGCACTTCCACCTTCTCTCCTTATTGACTGCCCTTGGATTCTGTTATGCTGTGAAAACCATGTCCTTGGGGAGGTCTCTAAGGGCCTGCCCAGTGTTGTGCATGTGGTTCCCTCCCCATGTCCTCAGTCTCAGCAGTGCTGGTCAGAGCCAGGCCTTCTCTTTCTTGGTGACATTGTTCCCTGCTGGTGTGTCTCCCGCCTCCTCCACCTGCAACACCTCATCTTTATCGGCCTGTTGGCACTGCTCAGGGCACAGACCTGAACCCTCTTCTTTCCCACACAGACTTCTCTTGGGAGTTCTCCACTTCCATGCCACTCCATGCTGGCTGTTGGTTCCTTAATGTAGATCTTTAGCCCAGGCCTCTCCCCACAACTTCCATCTTGGATATTCAAGGACCTATTTAGTCGCTCTTCTTTGAGTGTACCTCAGATATTCTAAATTCCTATACCCAAACTGAGCTTTCAGTAAATCCTTCACAGATCTTATCTTTCCTTCTTTCCATCCAGCTCAGTTGCTCAAGAAAGCTGGGAAGCCTTGATTCCTACCTCACCTTCACCACCTCTCAGCACATTCATTGCCAGTTCCTTTTGATGTTACTGCTGAGGTACGTGCCAGTACCCTTCACTCCTCCACTGCTGCCCAGGTCACGCCAGCACCGGCTACCCCGGGCTCCCCACACCCATTCTAGGCCCACACTCAGTTCTCTCTGCTGCAGCTGGACTGATCATTGACTATAAACGGCATCCTGGCACTCCTCTCTGTAAAGTCCTTCGGACCAGAATAATCACTGAATTTCTATTCCCAAATTTCTAATTTCCCAAAATTTCTAATCCCAAAGCCTTACAACCACCTCACCTTCGCTCGTCTGGGGTTTCTCTCTCCTTCTGACCTTGCTCTTCCCTGGCTTAGGACCATCAAGGCTGCCATTCCCTCTGCCTGAATGCCCTTCCGGCTACTCTTCACCTAGCTAATCTCAACTCAGCTGGAGAAGCCATCCTGACCACCCGATCCAAGTCAGGCCCCTTCTGTTACTCTCTTTTACCTCAGCCTGTCCTTTTCCTTCATTGCCTTTTCCTCAGTTTGGTATGTGTACATGTACTTCCCACTGGGCCCCAAGTGCTAGGGGTACAGACTAGGTCTGTTTTGTTCCCAGCTGCTTGGCCTGCGCCTGGCACTCTTCCTTGCATGGATGCCCACCAGCTCCTTGTCATCCAGGATGAGAGGGGAGGTGGCATGGGAATTGCAGCCCAAAGCCCCAGTGGCATAAGAGAGGACATCCGTAGCATGGCCCTCCGATGTGCCAGGTGATACAGGAGAGGAGCCCCCCCGGCCAGGTGTGGGGAGGTGAAGGGAAGGGGCTCTGCAAGACTTCCCAGAGGAGCCGAAGCTCAGGGTGAGAATGTGAGATGAGAAAGGGTCAGAAGGGCCTCGCTTCTGCTTTGTGAGAGTCCTTCCAACTCTTCAGCTTTGTCTGGCCTTGCCCCAGAGTTAATCCAAGACAAAGGTCTACAGGAGTTACGCTGAGGGAGAAGAAAAAAGAGAAGTCACAGGAAATTGCACTGTGACTCGCCTATTCATTTCCTGCCCCTGCACCCATGCTCTGGGCTTCGTGCCAGCTCCTGCAGAGAAATGGCCCAGAAGCAATGGTGAAGGGAAAGCCTGACGGGGTTTGGGGCTAATAGGGAGCCTTTGTGCCCTGAGCTTTTCTTTTTCTTAGTAAAGGCAGCAAACATCTTGGGCAGAACCTGGAAAGCACTCTGCTGTCTGTGGTGCCACAGGTGAAGAGGGAGGGAGGCCTTGGAAAGCTGGGCTGAAAGAACAAAGAGAAGTCTCCCTAGACCTAAAGAGACCCAGTGTTCACAGGGAGTGCCCTGGGGCGACAGCCCTACTGCTGTCCCAGGGCCTCTGGTGGATCAGAATTAGGTGTGCCCTCGTGGTACCTCCCAGGGGAGGGGGTACAACCCCCGATTCACTGACCTGACTCAGGAGGACCTCCAAATACATTCTCCTGTGGAAACATAGCTGTATGTATGTGGAAACCCCCAACATACATATTGGGGGCCTATAGAGTATCATGGTGGGGATGAGCTATGGCTCTACCAGGCCATAACTGCCATTTTTGAAATTATTACTAAAGGAAAATATTTTTTAACTTTCAAGCAACAGATTGACAAATACAGTCATTGAATATTTACTAGATGTCAAGCATTGTCCTAATCTCTGAACATGTATGTATTATTGCATTCAATCCTTCTGAGATCACAGTGAGTGAGGTAGGCCCACTTGACATGTGAGTGTGATGAGGGAGCAGGAGACTGGCTGAAGACAAAGCAAAAGCTGGCTCCTTGCACCCCCTCTCCACCCGCTCCCCTCGGTAATGTGTGTGACATTCCCCAGGCACTCCTGACCACCATAAGAAATAGTTAACTTGCAGATATCACAATCCTGCAAGACAGGATTCTCCCTTGGTTTACAAATATCCTATAGATCTACAAACAAAGAAGTTACCTTATCAATAGCACAATTTCCAGAGGCAAATAACTCAGTTCCTCAAGCCCTAAATAAAGTTAAATTTCTTCCAAACCCAAAACTCACTAACAAAGACGCTTGATAGCAGAAATGTGAATGGCTTGCCAAAAGACAACATTGATCAAGTCACAAGGCCTCCGGTATCCCGGCACCTTGTAGGCCCTCTTTAGCATATGAAAGCTCCCTTGAAACCTCCCTTCCCCTCACCTTCCCCCAACCGCAGGGTACATACCTTGCCATCCCTCACAACCCGGGGAGCAGCTCTTCCTGCCCATGGGTCCTGTACCCGTGCTTTAATAAACCACCATTTTGCACCAAAGATGTCTCAAGAATTCTTTCTTGGTCATTGGCGCTGGACCTCAGCCCACTGAACCTCACCTAGGTTCTAGAACTTCATCAAGTGCACTGAGGTTTAGAGGCTAAGTAACTTTCCCAAGGCCACTGAGTTAGTGGGTGGCGGCTCTGGGACTCAAACCCAGGTCTGATTACATACTTGAAATCCTTACAATGTACATTCAAACAGAACTATTTCTTAAATTCAGGACTGTATACTTAAAGGCCTTTTCCCATCTTATTCTTTATCACTAATCTTCCCTCACTAACACTTGTTCCATCACTACTGCTTGTTTTTCCTTTTGGAAAGCATTTCTTACTTTGGGCATTTCTCTAATTTCTTGAATTGGAAGCAGATTCACATTATTTTGCAAATGACGCTTGGTAAATATTCATTGATTACTATAAATGTTAACTGCTATACGGCCATGATGAAAAGAAGATTCACAAACTGGACTCGTTACTGCATTTTGATCTCTCTCAATCTTATTTTCTTAGTAACCCATTTCTGTTTAAAATGTGTTTATTCTTTCTGAAAGGAAGAAGATCTCTCTCCCCGAGTCCGCTGTAGTCTGCCTCTGGCTTCGGCACCTTCCCAGCCTTGAAAAAGCAACACTGCATCTTTTTGAAAAGCTGATCTCCAGTGCGAGAAATTTCCTGAGAAGGATCGAATGCTTTTTGAAAGATTCATTACTGGTACGTGCTGGGCTTTGATGAGGAGAAAAATCCTTAAAGAGGACCCTGGGTATCATCTCTTTTTGTCAAAGCGAGGGGAAATGTAAACAAGAGAGCAGTTGGCACCTTTTAAACTGCCTTTTGTTACAGAAATACCCAGCACAGGGGGCTTTTCTGCATAGTTGGATCATGTCTCGAAAATAGGGAGAGGTGTGAGACTTACTAGATCAGTGCACCACAGCGTATAGTGCAGATGCACAAGAAGTGATATTAAGGCACACTGTTTTAAAACAGTATTTCGTATTTCCACATGAAAAGTAAGGTTTAAAAAATGAAGACCTTACAAATGAGAGGAGGTATAAAAATCCTGGAAGAAAGGTTAAAACAACTAAGAATTCTGTAAGTTTTCTTTTGCTATAAGCCTTCTAGCCTTGAACCCTCCCTCCATGTGGTGGCTCACCTGCCCTCCCTTGCACTTGGGACTTCTCAGGCCTGGGAATTTGGGGGCTTGGTGGGCCAAATGGACTGGCTTCATTTCCTAAACCAGGGTCAGATGGCGGGACTCACAGGCAGTCCTCAGAATCTCACCATGGGGGTGTTTTCCCTTCGTGGGAGGCAACTCTGGAATTTATGTGCATTTTTGTGAGAGCAGGAATAAAGACCAATGCACCCTGAAAAAAACAAGTCAAAAACGACAGGAGGTGCCGTACTCCCTGGGCATCTGTTTTACGAGAACCTCAGTTGTTTCTAACATGTTTTCTCATTAGCTTTCCTAACCTGGGAACATAGGGCGCAGAGATTTTCTTCCTTTTGTACAGGTGGAGAAAATTACTTCAGAGATGGTGAACGGTCAGATCTTCACTTGGGGGCTAGGAAAACTGGGCAAGAAAGTGTTTACCTCCCCACTTGAGCTGAGATTTGGAAAGGGGGGAGCTCTGAGGTTGGCTGAGTTCACACAACGCCCACCTCCCAGACACCTTCTGTTTTTTGTTTTTTTTTTTTTTTTTTTAATTTAGTTGGAACTTACTGTTTTGTTTTCTCTTTGGAATTGGAGGCTGTGTTAGGGAATCCTGGTTGAATCAGTTGCCTTCTTCCTCCATCCCATTGTTCCTTTAGGTCCCCACCGGCTCTCCTGTGTGACTGCCAGGCCTTCTCCCTTACTCTGCAGGCTCTTGTCTGCCTTCGTGTTCTGGGGCCTCCCAAGCGGCTGTGGATGGTGCTGCCATCGCCCATAGCCATATGGCTACAAGCTGAGTGGCACAGACTGAGCCCAGCTGATGTGGACGTTTACAGTGTTTGACAGGAAAAGAAGGACGAAAAGAAGATAGATACAAAAGACTGAGAGAGCACGAGAGGTTTTTTTGTTTTGGGGAAAATTACTGCTTGACCTCACCATTCAAAAGAGTTGCGTAGTAAGGTTGAGAAATAAGAATGCACCTTACATAAAAATAGTTGAGTAAAATTCAGAATGAACAAAGGCTTTTTAGAAGTCCCTGGCAGCCCATTCCAAATATTACCTTTATTATCAGGTAAATCTGTATTTCTAACTTAAATGTACTCGGTATAATTTAATTTTCCCTAGTCCTTTCTCAGGGACAAAATGCAGTAACTGAGTTATTTCCTTGCTTTCAGGGTCCTTATTTTTTTTTTTTTTTTTTTTAAAGATTTTATTTATTTATTTATTTGACAGAGAGAGAGATCACAAGCAGGCAGAGAGGCAGGCAGAGAGAGAGGAGGAAGCAGGCTCCCTGCTGAGCAGAGAGCCCGATGCGGGGCTCGATCCCAGGACCCTGAGATCATGACCTGAGCCGAAGGCAGCGGCTTAACCCACTGAGCCACCCAGGTGCCCCCAGGGTCCTTATTTCTTTAGGTCTTGTCCCTATGGAGAAATTCCTCTTCCTTTGGCTTTTCTGAGTCGGTTTGATTCTGCAGGCTTTCTCTGGTCCTGTGGTTCTTCTCTGAACCTCCCCCATGTCCTTTTTAAACCTGTGGCCCTCCGGCTTGAAAGCGCTTCAGAAAGCACAGGATCGCCAGGGATATGAGAGCCAGCAGGCAGGCCCCCGCACTGAACACTGCACTGCAGAGCCTTCAGTCCCCAGCTTTCATAGTTTAATGTCCCCCAGGCAGACAGCTTCGAAGTCCGTTGATCTACAGAAGTATTTATCAGGCTCATGTGTGTAGGGATTCGGAGCTTCCATTATGGTTAAAGGAGGATTCCAGAGGGTGTTATTTGGTTTAATTCATTGTGGCATTAGCAGGATGTGACCTCTGTATGCCTTGTGGTTCAAGAAGGTAATTACAAGCCCCTGATTGGCGTGGGCTGCTCTCCTCAGGCGTCCTGGGTCTGCAGTGCCAGAAAACCAGGCCGGCTGGAAGATGCCTGTGACGTGACTGAGTGATTACACGGGCAACCTGAAGAACCTGCTTCCTAATTGCATCATCTGATTCATTTATCGCAGTACAGTATCTTGGTGCAGCGACAAGGCGGTGCAGAATTATCAGAGAGATCTGGAAGACTCAGATAGCAGTGGCCTGCTGTGTTTTCCTCCAGAAGAAACTTGATACCTATTACATTAGAGTTGGATTCTGAGAGTAATTAAAGTGTGATGGTCTACGTAACTTGTATTTTATATGGAGCACTGTTAATTATGTTTCCATCTCTTGGGACTATCCAGAAATAGCCCTGGAAATTCTATAGTTACAAGATGTTGCAAAAACAAAAGATAAAAGTGTGGTATAGGTTGTACAAAGGGAAATGATCTCCCCAAATGTGCTTTGGCCTCTCAGGGACTTGTAAGCCTGGTATTTTCTTTTCTTCTTCTTTTTTTAATTTTAACTTTTTATTTTAATTCCCGGTAGTTGACATACAGTATTATATTAGTTTCAGCTGTATACTGTAGTGATAAGACATGTCCGTACATCAGCTGGTGCACATCATGATAAGTCTAGTCTTAACCCCCATCACCCATTTCACCCCTTCCCACACCCACCTCCCCTCTGGTAACCATCAGTTTGTTTTCTATAATTAAGAGTCTGTTTCTTGGTTTGTCTCTCTTTTTCCCTTTGCTCGTTTGTTTCTTTTTGGGGGGTATTGAATTTTATAAGTTCTTTATTTATTTTGGATACCAACCCTTTATTGGATATGGCATTTGCAAATATCCTCTTCCATTCTCTAGGTTGCCTTTTCGTTTTGTTCACTATTTCCTTTGCTGTACAGAAGCTTTCTGTTTTGATGTAGTCCCAATAGTTTATTTTTGCTTTTATTTTCCTTGTCTCAGGAGACATAGCTAGAAAGAAGTTTCATATCTAGAAAGAAGTTGCTACAGCTGATGTCCAAAAAGTTACTGCCTGTGTTCTCTTCTAGAATCTTTATAGTTTCAGGTCTCATATATAGGTCTTTAATCCTTTTTGAAATTATTTTTGTGTACAGTGTAGGAAAGTGGTGCAGTTTCATTCTTTTGCATGTTGCTGTCCTGTTTTCCCAACACCGTTTGTTGAAGAAACTGTCTTTTTCCCGTTGGATATTCTTTCCTGCCTTGTTGAAGATTAATTGACCATATAATTGTGGGCTTATTTCTGGATTTTCTGGATTTTCAATTCTGTTCCATTGATCTTCGTATCTCCTTTTGTGCCAGTACCATACTGTTTTGGTTAATACGGCTTGTAATATAACTCGAAGTGTAGAATTGTGATGCCTCCGGCTTGGCGTTGCTTTTCCAAGACTGCTTTGGCTATTCGGGGTCTTCGTCCATACACATTTCAGAACTGTTCGTTCTAACTCTGTGAAAATTGCTGGTGGTATTTTGATACAGATTGCATTAAATGTGTAGATTGTAAGGCCTGAAGACTAAGAATAAGGCACCCATCTAATATTACCTTAATTCTAAATGCATATATATCTTTTTGACTTCTAAAATAAAAACAGGGGACACCTGGGTGGCTCAGTCAGTTAAGTGTCTGCCTACGGCTCAGGTCATGATCCCAGGGTCCTGGGATTGAGTCCCACATCATGTTCCTCGCTCAGTGGAGAGCCTGTTTCCTCTCTCTGCCTGCTGTTCCCCCTACTTGTATGCACATGTTCTCTCCCTCTCTCTCTCTCTCTCTGACAAATAAATAAAATCTTAAAAAAATAAAATAAAAACCAGTTTTCAAAACCTGCTTACTTTTGAGACTTACCCATTGGGTTCCATGGGCTAAACTGCCCCCAAGTTCATGGCTGCCTGCCACATCTGGTGGCTTCTAAGTAAATTGCAGTATCAGCCTCAGCTTGTCATTTACTCAGCAGACCGAAACTTTTCAAAGCAGACAGTTTTGTATTTTCCTTGGCAGAACACACACTGTAAGACCGTAATTCATAGCTTCAGACCTACCTTAAAACTGATGTCACCAAAGCAGTGAAAGCCGCTTGCTAATTATGCAGGTTTTTTGACACTGTTTGGTTTCCCAAGACTGAGCAGAATCAGAAGAATGGTATGTTTTCCAGTTACAGTTCTGTCTGTGGAGCCCAGAAAGCTGTTGTTTCTATTCCACATTTGAATGAGAAGCCCTGGCTGGGTGGCATGGTGGCACTGTGCTTGGCTACCCTGCTGCATACCAAGGCCGGGATGTACCCTGGTTCCCATGCCCTTCCATTCACTCATTCGTTGGCTGACCACGCACACCGCCTGCCCCTCCAGCTGGATCCAGAGAAGCTGCTCCCTCGCCTTCACAGAAAGATTTGCCCAGGAAAGAGCAGGGAGGAGAGGGGAAAGGGCGACGGGGTTCATTTTGTTTTGTTTATTCAGATTTGAATCGGAAAATACTCCTCATATTCCGTCCTACCTGAAAGTCTTTGTAGCTCAATTAAAATAATTCCTTTATCTTGTCAAGTACACCTCAGTAAAGCTTGGGGGGGGGGTGGGCAGGGAGGAATTGGTTCTTAATCTAGTAAGAGCTTAAGAGTAAAAAACATGCAGATACCTCAGTGTCCTCTCTGATGTGAGATGGGATGTGTTCTTGTCTTCATTCTCCAAAGAGCAATT